TGCACACACACATCAGACATATATACACAGACACACACATACACACACAAACATAGACACACACATGCACACACAGAGACACCCAGACACACACACTGAGACACACACACACACACACACACACACAAACATACACAGAGATACACACATAGACACACCGGTACACAGACATGCACATACAGGCAGACATATACACATAGATACACACACAGACAGACATATATATACAAACACACACATGCACACACATACACACACACAGAGGCATACACAGACACATACATACATACAAAGAAAGGCAAGAGAAATCCAGGCATGGTGGACCATGGCTATAATCCCAGGACTTAGAGAGCTGAGGCAGGAGGATTACTGTGCATTCAAGGCCAGCCTGGGTTACATGATGAGACCCTGTCTCAAACAAAACAAGACAAAAAGGCACAGAAGGTACATGTAAGAGCCACCCAGCCCTGCCGTCCCTTCACCTGGTCACCCTGTCATCCCTGGCTGTCCTGTGCTTACCCATCCCTTACAACTCCTCCCCCAAGGTGGCATCCTCACCCAGCTCTGTCCTGATACCTGTCACTGTTGTTCTAAGCCCAGATGCCCACTTTAATTGGAGCCATCCACAAAGACGTGTTTATTTATTGATTTCAGTCCCCACTAAGTGACTTTTTTCCATTATATAGCCCATGAAAAGCCACCCGGTGCCCCATCCCCAGCTGAAGGCAAGCCAGCCCCCGCTTGCCACGCCCATGTGCAGACTGGCCTCCTTGTGGGCAGGGAGACAAGATCCCAGAGTTGATTATCAGAGAGGTCTCCTCCTCCTCAGACAGGCCAGGTCAGGTCAGGGACAAAGGAGAGGGACGGATTCCCAGGTGTCTGGAGCTGGCCTTAACAGATCATGGGGATTGAGGCCTGGGCTCATTCCCTGCCTTCCATTAAAGGGCTTCCCAGGACTCTGAAAGACCCCAGAGCTTTCTCTCACTCTCCTGCATTCACCAGTCCATCTGTCTGAACCACCTTATTGCATGATTTTCTCTAGTCTAGGGAGTTTCTCTCTAGTCAACCCTAGAGAGAGAAAACAACAGACCAAAGAAATGAGTCTGTCCGAGTCTGCCTTGGTGAACCGAGATGGCTGGACTTGGTTACAGGTACATGGGTGGCTCAAGCAGATACAGCCTCAAAAAGGTGTCACCCCAGCAGTGGTGACAGTTCACACAGCTGCAGCCCTAGAACTGCATGTACAGCTTGCATGTAGGCAACTCCACTGAAGAGACTTCTTTCCCCAGAAATTATTTACTGCTATATAATCTTAGGGAGGGGCCTTCCAAGTCTTGTAAACTTCGTGTGTGTGTGTGTGTGTGTGTGTGCGTGTGTGTGTCTGTGTGTGTGTCTGTGTCTGTGTCTGTGTCTGTGTGTCTGTGTCTGTGTGTCTGTGTGTGTCTCTGTGGACACCTTGTGAAAGTAACATACACAGAGACACACACATAGACACACCGGTACACAGACATGCACACACAGGCAGATATATACACATAGATACACACACAGACAGACATATATATATACAAACACACACATGCACACACATACACACACACAGAGGCATAACATACACACATACACACACCTCCACATAGATACACATATACTCCCCCACACAGGCACACATGCACACATATATACACTTGCACAACCCCTCCCTCCCACATACACACACATGCAAACATAAATACTCACCCTACATACATACACAAACATGCATATACACACTCCTCACATGCACATTCATACACACACTCTCACATAGAAACACATACATATATCTATATGTATAGACACATTCCCCACACATAAACACACATAAACACTCCCCCATACACACACACATAAAAGTAAACTTCGTGTGTGTGTGTGTGTGTGTGTGTGCGTGTGTGTGTCTGTGTGTGTGTCTGTGTCTGTGTCTGTGTCTGTGTGTCTGTGTCTGTGTGTCTGTGTCTGTGTGTCTGTGTCTGTGTGTCTGTGTCTGTGTGTCTGTGTCTGTGTGTCTGTGTCTGTGTGTCTGTGTCTGTGTGTCTGTGTCTGTGTGTCTGTGTCTGTGTGTCTGTGTCTGTGTGTCTGTGTCTGTGTGTCTGTGTCTGTGTGTCTGTGTCTGTGTGTCTGTGTCTGTGTGTCTGTGTCTGTGTGTCTGTGTCTGTGTGTCTGTGTCTGTGTGTCTGTGTCTGTGTGTCTGTGTCTGTGTGTCTGTGTGTGTCTCTGTGTGTGTACCACGTACCCTGTTGAGGCTAGACTGACTAACCAGTGAGTCCCCAGGGGTCCACCTGTGTCTGCCTCCTCAGCACTGGGATTGCAAGCACAGACAACACGCAGCTTGTTACATGGATTGTGGATCTATACTCAGGTCTTCATGCTTTGCACAACAAGCAGTTTACCCACTGAGGCCTGTTCCCAGCCCCTCAGTCTTACAAGTTTCTGAGCTTCCTAAGTGCTTTAAGTTTCT